ATGAATTTACCTCAGAGTCGTGTGGTGGGTGTCGAGGCCTAGCACCGTGCAGAGCCTCCGGCCTCGCCTGATTTTCCCACCCGGCTGACGCTGGGTACGGGTGCCGTTCCCCCCCCCCCCCCCGCGCTACAATAATACTGTCTAATTGCTATAATTTTATAATCTACCGACCCTATAATAGTAATTGCACACATTGTGGTGGGGGGGGAGTGAAGAGGACGTGAAACTGTGATGAATTTACCTCAGAGTCGCGTGTTAATGCGTGCGCCTATTTTTAACGGGAATTAAAAATGGCGTCCACCCCGCAGCGAAGGCGTCGCTACCCGTTGCCAGGGGCAACCGCCGTCCAATGAAAGCGGCGAAGGTGTCGCTACCCGTTGCCAGGGGCAACCGGCGTCCAATGAAACTGCGTATGGTCCGGCGACACACAGACACACACACAGACAGACAGACAGATTCGCGATTTTATATAAATAGACTAGCTTGGCTACCCGGCTTCGCCCGGGACTTGGATTCACACCGCCCGGCCGCCTTTGTCTCCCCAGTGGCGATGTTCACACACCACAGCAGTTACTCGTTTGAGGCTGAGTCGACCTTGGGGAGGTTCAAATAATCGTCACCGGTGGTGGCCGTGAAAGGGAATCGAACTCGGTTTGCCGGGTTCGTAGCGCAGCGTAGCGTTAACCACTACACCCACCGCTCCTCACACACCACACACGCACAGACACACACACAGACACACACACAGACACACGCAGACACACACAGACAGACACACACACAGACACACAGACAGCACGCTAACCACTACACTACCGTTCCCCCTACACAACATACGCGCGCTTGCTGCAGACACACACGACTTTCAGGGTGCGTACGGCAGTAAACGACTGAAATAATAAAGCGGCAATGCTGCGCGAGGAACGCCTTAGACCTGCAACACATTTGTGTAATGCGAGCGTAAACACACAAACACATACAAACACATACACACACATACACACACATACACACACATACACACAAACACACACATACACACACACAGACATACACATACACACAAACACACACATACATACACACAAACACACACATACACACAAACACATACACAATACACACACACATACATGCAGACACACAGACACACACATACATACACACACATACATACACACAAACACATACACACACATACATACACGCACACATACATACACACAAACACATACACACACGTACATACACACATACATACAGACACACAGACATACACATAAACACATACACAAAAACACACATACATACACACACATACATACACACAAACACACACGTACATACGCACATACATACAGACACACAGACATACACATAAACACATACACACATACACATGACCCCAGCTTCGCCCGGGACTTGGATGCACCACGGCCGGCCGCCTTTGTCTCCCCAGTGGCGATGTTAATACGCCACACCAGTCACTCGTTTTGAGGCTGAGTTCCTCCCTCGCCACTCTCCCTCCCTCGCCACTCTCCCTCCCTCGCCACTCTCCCTCCCTCGCCACTCTCCCTCCCTCGCCACTCTCCCTCCCTCGCCACTCTCCCTCCCTCACCACTCTGTAGAGGACGTGAAACTTTGATGAATTTACCTCAGAGTCGCGTGGTGGGTGTCGAGGCCTAGCAGCGTGCAGAGCGTCCGTCCTCGCCTGATTTTCCCACCCGGTTAAGGCTGGGTACGGGTGCGGTGTCCCCCCCCCCCCCCGCGCTACAATAATAGTGTCTAATCGCTATAATTTAATAATCGCCCGACCCTATAATAGTAATTGCACACATAGCGGTGGGGGGGGGGAGTGAAGAGGACGTGAAACTTTGATGAATTTAACTCAGAGTCGCGTGTTAATGCGTGCGCCTATTTTTAACGGGAATACAAAATGGCGTCCACCCCGCGGCCCGTCGCTACTCGTTGGCAGGGGCAACCGCCGTCCAATGAAAGCGGCGAAGGCGTCGCTACCAGTTGCCAGGGGCAACCGCCGTCCAATAAAAGTGCGTATGGTCCGGCGACACACAGACATAAACACAGACAGACAGATTTACGATTTTATATATATAGATTATCTACATTAACAGGTTAGAGCAGCCACGCAGGCTGTGTGATGGAGATTTGGTTTCAACCTCGCTGCAGCAACAGATCATCAGTTTCAGTGGGAACAGTGTTGTTGATCTCCCATTTTTGCCAGTGCATTCAAGTCTGGAGTTATTTTGGTTGTGGCAATTCTCAGGATAGATCTGAGGTGCTAATCCGTTAACTTTGATCTGTGACGGGCTTTGTTGGCGTTCATGATGCTGAATGTCTGCTCACACACATAAGTCGAGCCAAACAAAGTCAGTATCTTCTGTGCAGTCCTCCGGAGGTTTGGAAACGTGGCTCTGTTAAGTGAAGCATAAAAGTCATTCAGTTTAACAGAGTTGAACTTCTCCTTTCGGACGGAGTCAGACTGAAGATCTATCAGTTCCAACTGCAGCTCCTGTGGTGCTGTTTCAGGGTCTTGTGACAGAGGACAGGACACCAGCTGAAGTGACTGTTCAATGTTTTCGAAATCAGAGAACCTACGGCAGAATTCTCCGTGCAAGTCCTCAAGCGATTTGCTGTATTTTTTTGCGTTTCGCGGTGCCTCTTCCTGCATGGAAAGTGTGGGGAAATGAGTGAAAGATTTGTTCACAATTTGTATGGAGAACAAAGTGAGCTTGGATTTGAAGGCTTTCACATGTTTGTACATGTCGTGAACAAATTGATCTTTCCCCTGCAGTTTCACATTCAGCTCATTCATGTGTGAAAATATGTCCACAGCAAACGCAAAGTCACTAAGCCAGTTCTTGTCGCTTAGCTCAGGGAATTCGTCACATTTCCCCATCAACTCCAAAAATGCGATGATGTCCTCTTTCAGCTCCCACACTCGTAACACTTTCCCCAAACTTAACCAGCGGACACAAGAGTAAGTCCTGATGATCCGCATCAGTTTCCTCCAGGAACGTAATAAACTGACGGTGCTGAAGTCCCCTTGCTCGTATAAAGTTTACAAGTTTTACGACTGGATTCAAGACATGATTAAGCTGCAATACAGACTTACACAGGGATTCCTGATGGATGATGCAGTGAAGGAAAATAAGATCCTGGACAGGGTTTTCCTCTCACTTTATCCTGGATTCTTTTCAGCAGCCCAACATATTTTTCAGTTAAATTTGGCGATCCATCCGTCGTGACATTGACAAGTTTACTCCGACGTAGCATCATTCTTTCGATGACAGCAGATACCTGGTTATACAAGTCCTCTCCCCGCGTTGTTCCGTTCAGGGATTCCATGGTCAAAAACTCCTCTGTTACTGCAAAACTGTCGTCAATGCCTCGGATAAAAATGAGGAGCCGAGCAGTGTATTTTACGTCCGTACTTTCATCCAGTGCTAGTGAATATAACTCAAAGGAATCAGACTTTTTGTTTAATTGACTGGCTATATTTTTATCAATCAGTTCCACACGGCGAGTCACAGTCCTGCGTGATAAACTGACTTTTTCAAATTTGCTTTTGATCTCCGGACACAAAATGTCTGCTGTCTGTACCATGTATTATTTTAAAAACTTGCCTTCGGAGAAAGTGGTAACGAGTGGTAATGTTGGTGAGAAGAAGTTTTAAAAGAAAATTTTAATCGAAGTGAAGGAAATTATTGAAAAGTTTGTATAAGTAATGATTTTTCAAACTTGAATTATGTTTTCTGTGCTTAAAATGCTTTAAAAAACTGTGGGGTCTAGAACGGACTCGTGAAATTCGGAGAGAACTCGGAGTTAAGTTTTGTTGAATTACATAAAGTGCGCCATCTAATGGGGGAATTACAGGAGGAAGGTAACATTTAATATAATAATAATATTTGGACAAGTTCGGCGGGCCGGATTAAAAAGCCCAACGGGCCGTATACGCCCCGCGGGCCGTACTTTGCCCATGTCTGTCCTAGAATCAACCCACTCGCGCCTGCAACATGGCTTCATCCCAGAGGTCGCAATCGGGTACCCGTACCCTACCCGTTTGCGACCCTGGTGCGGCCGAGTATGGGTGCGGAATCAAAACCCGTTTGAGACCTCTGATTCAAAACCAAACTGGAATTATGGGGGCGACGAGTGAACATTGGAACTTTTGACATGTTTCAAACACTAGCAGGGATTTTGAAAGAGACTGAGCCAGGGCATTTCTCCCAGCTGGTGCATTAAAGCCTATCTCAGCTTTTAAAAGAGTTTGAGCATTACTTCCCAACCACAAAAGACCCCCGAACTGGGAAGGAATGGACCCGCGACCCATTTGTGAATAAGCCAGGTGAATCGACTTTGTGCTAGAAGATGATCAACTGCTTGAGATCGCAAATGAAGGTGGCCTTAAAAGTATGTTTGAGACAACTTCAAATCTCGATACGTTCTGGATTAAAGTCAAGGAGGAATATCCTGAGATTGGCACAAAAGCACTGAAAAGCCTGCTTCCATTTTCAACGTCCTGTCTTTGTGAAGCAGGGTTTTCTGCAGTGACAGCAACAAAGACGAGATTATGGAGTAGACTGGACATAAGCAACACACTTCGGGTGTCACGGTCTCCCATCACCCCCAGATGGGACCATCTAGTTACAGGAAAACAAGCTCAGGGCTCCCACTGATTCTGCATTATGGTGAGTTGTATCATTATTTCATATTACAATGTAAAAATATAAATAAAGTGCACAATAAATATAATGCGCTTTAATCATCATGAAACCATCCCCCCCCCCCCCAGTCCGTGAATAAATTGTCTTGTTACTAATTGTGATAATACATAGATTCTCGCTTTAACTTTTACTGATTATGTTTTAGTGTAATTCTATCAGGTCTCAGAATTCAGATCTTGCCAAAGAATACAGTTCTTATAATTAAGATCATTATGCATGAACTTAGGAAGGAACCACTCAGACACTTCTGTGTTAAGCAACTTTAATTTCTAAACAAAAATATAACACTCTAATATGCAAACTCTTATGCTTGGAATTGTCACAGTACTCCTGGAGATGTGCTCATTGATCCGTACATTTAACACTCAATGATTACGTTGTTAAACTGGGTAACAGAGCAATCGGTTAATTCCCCAGAGTAACGCGAGCATAGGAAAAAGTCCTTAAAAATAAATGTGATGATATTCATACGAACGTCAATAATGAAACATGTCCCGAATGAAAAAGTAGACCTCAATGAATTCATTGGTAGATTATGTAATTAACTAAACGTCTTGGAACAATGGTGTGCGGCAGAGTGCCTGCTTCAGCAAATGCTTATCAATTGGCTAAGGCTTCAATAAATTCGCGGGCAAGACTCTGTGATCAAAAGAAAGATTTCAACACAATAGTCTCCCTGTGAGTGTGTGGATTCGTAACGTATGTTTCTAAACGTTTAGTTTCGTCAATGAATTCATCGGTACAGTTAAAATTAACAAAACGAACGACTAAAATACTTCTCAAAGACCGTATCCACGTGACTCGATAAGCAGCAATGTTCTTCATTATCAGCTAAGAGTTGACGCACTCTTATGATTATTCTTCTCATTATTAGTCCCGGTATGTGTGTGTTTGGTGGTTTTGTCTCCTTGATGAATTTTTCGCGTCAAGCAGACGCTGGGTGATACGTGGCGAGTATGTGAGTGTGGGGGAGGGTCATACACACAGCTTCCTCACTCTCTCTCGCTCGGCGGCAGCTGGAGCTGCTGCCCACTGCTGGATGAAGAGTCGGCAAGACGCTCGCCGTCGGCGGTGCGCGATGATTCCGTCGTCAGATAGTGCCCGCAGCTCGTCTGCTGGTCACCGTTCCTCACTCTTGTCTTGGTTCACAGCTGGTGCTGGTCGGTGTGTGTGGGTCAAACCCACGGCGCTCTCCTCTTCCTCACGGGCGGCTGGTCAGGCTCTTTCCCCTGCTGGATGAGCCGAGTCGGCACGACGCTTGTCTTTGAAGGTGCTCGACAGCGCTCGCCGCTCGTCCGCTGGCAGCTGACACCCTTGCTCGGTGGCGCTGCTGCGCTCTCTCTCCGGCTCTGTGCTCTCTGGCGATGCCTGGTTGCGTGTGCAGCTGGTGCTCTGCGATGCTGGCTGGGTCGATGCTTGGGCTTCCACCCTTTTTCCCGGTTGATTGCTCGTCGTTGCTCGTCACTCTATCTCTCGGGCTGCAGCAGCTCGTGGGAGCTGGCACTCACTCTCAAAACTTGTAAATTGTATTCGCACACCTCTTAAACAACTGTGAAAGCTTAGTACAATACAACTTATCGCAATCCTTGACTTTGCAAGAGACTCAAAACATCAGGATGAATGTAGAATAAAACTCTCAGCGATACTCTGTCGGTCCATGCCGAACTCAGCACCGAGCATCACCTCGCCCCTCTTCTCTGCGAGACAACACCCATTGTTGATCTCGAGGCCATGCCCCGGAGTCTGCCCGTCGCAGTACTCTGTCGCTTGTAGTCTTCTGTAACTTGCAGTAGTCTCGATGTATGGGTTGTGTCTCTGTCTTTACGTGAATTTCTCTCCCCTCGGATCACCGTGTGGTTAGTCATAGGACACAACATATGCATTGTCTTTGAAACTGATTGGTCCACACCAGAGACAGCTTTCTTTAGAGCCTAGCATCAAACGGTGTTAATCCAGAGGACGCCAAAAGGCGTGCTCTTTAAGTATTTGTGATGAGATAATAAAAAACTCCCGAGTTGCTGAGGCGATTAAGCAAGCACCATATAAATGCTAATATTATTATAACATAGTGAATGCTTGGGAGCTTATTGGCTCTCGCTCCTAGTTAGAGATCTACCCAACCCACAGGTCCGCAAATACTGACCGCTCTTACTCTGCAGGTTGAACCTAGGAATGGAGTGTTCAACTTCACGTTATTTTCATTAAAGGCCTGTGACAAATGTGAATCTATTGGAGCTTCATTGTCTCAAGCTTACACATCTACAGGTTCTCCATTTGACTTTGTATTGTCTAAGAAGTCCACCCACACCTCCACTTCCACAAACTGCTGGGAGTTGCCTCGCTCTGCCTCACAGTCATCATTCTCCTCCTGCTTCACGTTGCCTCCATTGATGTTAAGGTCCGATTCTGGAGTTGAATGTTCATCTTCACATTTTACCTTCACTTCTTCGCTCTTCACTATCACCTCTTCACATTTCACCTTCGCCTCTGCAATTTTCACCTTGATACATTTCATAGTGTCCAAGCTGGAATTTACTTCTGGTTCTTTTTTCAGGAGGGATGGGCTCATTGCAGCACTTTGACTTTCACAAATCGATTTCAGACTACACTCCTTGGGGGTCTTCTGATGCCTGTGTGTTCTCTGGTGTCTATGAAGCTGTTGTGACTGTGCAAACGCCTTCCCGCACAGAGTGCACTTGAAGGGTTTCTCTCCTGTGTGTGTTCTCTGGTGTATTTTAAGATTTGATGAATGTGAAAATGCCTTCTCACACACACTGCACTTGAAGGGGTTCTCTCCTTTGTGCATTCTCTGGTGGATTTGAAGATAAGATGAACTTGAAAATGCCTTCCCACACACAGTGCACTTGAAGGGTTTCTCTCCTGTGTGTGTTCTCTGGTGTTTTTTAAGATAAAATGAACTTGAAAATGCCTTCCCACACACAGTGCACTTGAAGGGTGTCTCTCCTCTGTGTGTTCTCCGGTGTTTTTTAAGATAAAATGAACTTGACAATGCCTTCCCACACACAGTGCACTTGAAGTGTTTATCTCCTGTGTGTGTTCTCTGGTGTATTTTAAGATAAGATGAACTTGAAAATGCCTTCCCACACACAGTGCACTTGAAGGCTTTCTCTCCTGTGTGTGTTCTCTGGTGTTTTTTAAGAGCAGATAAATCTGAAAATGCCTTCCCACACACACTACACCTGAAGGGTTTCTCTCCAGTGTGCGTTCTCTGGTGTATTTTAAGATAACATGAACTTGAAAATGCCTTCCCACACACAGTGCACTTGAAGGGTTTCTCTCCTGTGTGTGTTCTCTGGTGTTTTTTAAGATAAGATGAACTTGAAAATGCCTTCCCACACACACTACAATTGAAGGGTTTCTCTCCTGTGTGTGTTCTCTGGTGTATTTTAAGATAACATGAACTTGAAAATGCCTTCTCACACACAGTGCACTTGAAGGCATTTTCTCCTGTGTGTGTTCTCTGGTGTATTTTAAAAGAAGATGAACTTGAAAATGCCTTCCCACACACACTACATTTGAAGGGTTTCTCTCCTGTGTGTGTTCTCTGGTGTTTTTTAAGATAAGATGAACGTGAAAATGCCTTCTCACACACAGTGCACTGGAAGGGTTTTTCTCCTGTGTGTGTTCTCTGGTGTATTTTAAGAGCAGATGAATTTGAAAATGCCTTCCCACACAGAGTGCACTTGAAGGGTTTCTCTCCCATTGGAAATCTCTGGTCCTGTGTAAAATTTCCAGTAGAATCCATGCTGTTTGCATACTGGTCCCATTGTTGTCTTTGTCTACCGAGCCGCGCTGAGTGCCTTTGCTCCATCAGACCAATTCTGCAGAGGAAGCATCAGAAGAAGCATCAGCTGCAGACAGAAAAAAATGTCCACACCATCTTCATCAGTATCGAGGCACAGAGGAATGAATATATACACAGTCACACATGACTTACAATTTGAGTAAATGTTGTGGTTTCGCGCTTCAACACACCGGTGGGCTAAAGCAGTGAACTAATTTGTCTTTTGTCAACGTGACTTTTTTACTGATTGGCCGTGTAGGGTGGTGGAGGGTTATGACACATTTATAAATAACGCGATCTAAACCCAAAAACGTTGATTATGAATATTGGTCGCGAAAGCCTACGTGTTAAGCAAAATTCAGCTAACATAGCAAAGGCTGTTGGGAATAATACTATTTGTATTATGCATAAATGCACAAATAAATGTTCAATCGTGACTTTAGAGGTGTGAAGTCAGGCTCAGATTTTCTTGAATGCTTGGATGAACAGATCTAACTTCAGCAGCATATGTGCTGTTAATTTCCTGTTTCCATTCCTCCAAAAAGTTCCAGAGAGAAACTAAAATAAACTATTGTTTTGATTTAACCTCCATGTTCAATAGTGAATATAATTTACTGCAAATACAAACTTGACACTGTCACACACTGGCATTGTAAAAAGTGGTGGTGTGTCCAGAACCATTCCTGGCCGCCTTCATCGGCTCAATATTGACGCTTCCTCCCTTCACCATGTAATTAATTTAAGATCAATCAACATAGCAGAGGCCCACAAGCAGTTCAGCTTTCACTTATCAATCATGTTTGCTGGCGGTGATAATCAAACTAATTGTTGAGTTCCTAATGCAGTGAAATAACTGCACCACAGCTCCCCACAAAGATAAACTCTTAAATACACATACATTTCACATGCATCATTAACATATGTAGTGACATAAGAAGGGAGGGGCTGCTGGGGGCTCTGGGATCCCAGGTGAGTCCAGACGCTTAAGCCTCTGGGCGCCAGGCGCTGGCTTCCCAGGGGGTCCAGACGCTTAAGCCTCTGGGCGCCAGGCGTTGAGTTCCCAGGCGCTTAATCCCCTGGGCGCCGCCAACGGGGGGGGGGGCCTGTGTGTGCTCTGTGGGATGTCTGGTGGCGCACACGGCCCCACCCCTCGTTGGATCAGGCATAAAAGGAGAGCTCCCTGGACGATCGGGGCCCAGTTGTAACTCAAGACCCAAGACCCACGACCAGCCATCTGAAGACCCTGGGATGCTGTGAGAGCCAGCGCTGGGACTCTGGAACTCCCGACTCTACGACCTTGTGAGGGCGAGTTCCGGAGCGTAGCCAGAGGAGAGTAGCTAGGCTGTGTACCTAGGCTGTAACAGAGTATCAGGACTGTTGGAGAGTTGGAGTACTGTTGGAGTGTTGTATTGTAATAAAGAAGTACATCTACAAGTGTCTCCGGAACCCGTTACACATATATAAACAAAAATCCACCATTCATGACGAATTGCAAGTCACCTTATCCCAGTGCTAATGCCATGATAGGTGCAATTTAAGGCCATGTAAGTATGGATTCCTTGTCAGCAGGTAATGGGAATGATCCAGGTGTCAAGGGATGACTGACAGATGAACCAGCTGCGCTCCCCACTGTCTTGCTGGGTTTTAGGAACCCAGCGTACCACGTATTCATGATGGCGTCGCTCTTCCGACCTCATCGTTGTTGCAGAGAAAATATATATTAACTGCCCTGCAGCATACCTCACGGACCTCCTTCACAGAGGCCAATCTTGACACTGCCGGCACCAGTCATTGGCAGGTCCGATCACCTCTACATCCTCCAATCTCTCCTCTGGCCAATGCCATGCCTGTTCAGCCCCTAATATCTGGACAAACAAAAGATGCTTGAGCATGCAGTGTCTGGGAATGCGGGATTCATGACCAAACAAATGCAGCCTCGCCTGCGAAAGAGACTCAAGATTATATTCTATATTGACATCTTCAGGATCTGTAAGCTTCTAATACAAAATAAGTCTGGTTGGATAGAGGATGAATCATAGGCAGGACAGCCTTCATGGTATAAGCCAGCAGAGATGGTAATTTAAATAAGTTCATATTCTGAATCCACATAGTAATATCTGTGGCCAAGAAGAATCACAGCTTTATTCGTTAGTTTCTAAAATGCTTGTCCTGGTGAGGGTCGCGGTGGCAGCATGCTGAGAAGGGCAGTCCAGGCCTCCTTTTCCCTGGCGACAGACTCTAGCTCATCCTGGGGAATTCCCAAGCATTCCCAGGCCAGCCGAGTGACATAGTCCAGCCAGCATGTCCTGGGCCAGCCCTGGGGTCTTCGACCCAGTGGGACGTGTCTGGTAGAGATCCAGGGGAAGTCTATTGGGGGGCATCCTTACATATATTCTATATTTATATCACCGCTAGAGGCAGGCAATCAGGTATGAAAAACAGCAAGAAAATTTTCAAGAATTTTCCAAAAATTTCTTGCTGTTTTTCACACCTAAAGTCATGTAGAAGAAAAACAATAAAAAACTAAAAAAATTCTCACGACGTTTCGACTGCAACACGAGCAATCAGGTGTGAATTAACGCAGCAAGAAAATTTTCAAAAAAATTCCTAAAAATTCTTGCTGTTTTTCACACCTCGCCACGTAGAAGAAAAACAATGAAATAAAAAAAATGCTCACGACGTTTCGACTACAACACGAGCAATCATCGTCAGGTGTTAAAAACACGGCAAGAAAATTATCGAAAATTTTCAAATAAATTCTTGCTGTTTTTCACACCTAAAGTCGTGTAGAAGAAAAACAATAAAATAAAAATATTAAAATTCTCACATTTCGACTGCAACTCGAGCAATCATCGTCAGGTGTGAAATCCACAGCAAGAAATTGTATTACTTTATTATTTCCCTTCTACGTGACTTTACCGAAAGAACCACTAATATCTTAACACCTGTTTTAGTTGCCAGAAAAGGGGAAAAACCTCTTCTTATATGTTGCTACTGGCAAAGGAGGTCCCATGAAGTAGTGAGCCAGATGAAGACGAATTAAACTTAAGCAGAGGATTAAAGCAAATGCAATCAGGCGAGGGCAGGAGGCAAGGCCCCGCGTGGCTCGGCCCCGCGTTGTAATGTTCAAACCTGGATATCGATTCCATACTCGCTGCTACTCAATTGATATCCCTACGAGAGACGGAGAGAGGCTCTACCTGGATAAACAACAACCACCACGACAACAACAACCACCACGATGTTAACTTCTCACCTCGGATCTGTAAGAGCGCGCGCGGTGTAGCAGCTTCCCGCTATAAAGTGACGTCACGCGGCAGCAAGCGGTGACATGACGTAACTGGCGGGCTTTGAACACAATCCCCTCCCCCAACGAGCGGCGGTGTAACTGAATAAATTATGTTAATGAGACGGTCTCATGTGTAGTGATGTGGCGTCGATGTTGAACTTGTCGCAATGAAATAGCGATATTTATGAATAAATTATGTTAATTAACCGCCAGTTGATAGTTTCAGTTTGATTTATTAGGAACTAGCGGTAAGCATCCGGCGTTGCACGGGGGAAATATTTATTGAAAAACTTCTCAAAAAACTTAAAAACATAACATCGTATTCATAAAATTAATACAAATTTTTATAAAATTTTTATTTAAATAAAACCCAACGCGTGGTGGAAAATAAACTTGCGGCTCGCCCGTCAAGATTTGATTCTTTAGATAGCGCAAAGAAATCGAAGGTTGTAGATTTATTTAGAATCGGCCAATTCCCGTTTAATCGATACCACAAACGCTCAGCAGATATCGATACTCGCCACAGACTTCATGGTCATTCCCCCCCCCCCCCAAAATACAAATGTTTATTTTTTAAGAATTTTTGCATGGTGTACATTTTGCAAAGTACTACATGGAAAATTTCAAGTTTGTTGCATGTCGGGAAGTACGCTAAACATTTTGAACAGACAACACATTCACAAATTTTCCTTTTATATATAGAAGACTAGCTTGACTACCCGGCTTCGCCCGGGAATTGGATTCACCACGCCCGGCCGCCTTTGTCTCCCCAGTGGCGATGTTCACACACCACATCAGTTACTCGTTTGAGGCTGAGTCGACCTAGGGGAAGCCCAGGACCAGTAAAAATAATCGTGGTGGCCGTGAGCGGGAATCGAACTCGGGTCGCCGGGTTTCGTAGCGCAGCGCGCTCACCACACATCATCTTTAAAACACAGACGTGAGATGGCTTTCTAAAGGTAGATCACTGGCCAGAATTTTTGAGTTGCGAGAGCCACTTCAGAGATATCTTTTAGAAAAACAGTCACCACTGGGGCAGCACATTTCAATGACACAGAATGGGTCGCAAAACCTGCTCACTTGTGTGACATATTCAGCCTGCTCAACGTACTCAATGTGTCATTTCAGGGGAGATCGACAACTCTGTTCAAATCGGCAAATAAATTGGCTGCATTCAAAGCCACACTGGAATTATGGGGGCGACGAGTGAATATTGGAACTTTGACATGTTTCAAACACTAGCAGAGATTTTGAAAGAGACTGAGCCAGGGCCTTTCTCCCAGCTGGTGCATTAAAACCTATCTCAGCTTTTAAAAGAGTTTGAGCGTTACTTCCCAACCACAAAAGACCCCCGAACTGGGAAGGAATGGACCCGCGACCCATTTGTGAATAAGCCAGGTGAATCGACTGTCTGTGCTAGAAGAGGATCAACTGCTTGAGATCGCAAATGAAGGTGGCCTTAAAAGTATGTTTGAGACAATTTCAAATCTCGATACGTTCTGGATTGAAGTACGGCGAGAGTGGCGCGGTCGCCACGCGGTGGGAGACGTCGGCACCGTCAGCCATCGGTGTCAGGACGCAGAGGGCTAGCGAGCGGTGGAAGGCTAGCTGCAGAGCGGAGTAGCAGTGAAGCTGCAGACGGAGCAGCGGTGTGGCTTCAGGGCGGAGCAGCAGTGAGGCTGCAGAACGAGCAGCAGAGTGGCTGTGGAGTGATCGTCGGGAGAGACGCGGGCCTGAGCGAGGACGCAGTGTGAACGAGATTCTACGAACCCAAAAAAAGGACAACGGAGATTGACATTGAGAAAGAGTCCTTTATTACATTAGTGTCAGAAGTGAAACGGCATGTCAAAACAGCTCAGAAGGAAGAACGTCCCTGCACCATCTTCTGCAGCATCTTCTGACGACGACCTCCCTCCAGCGGTGGCGCTACCGACGATGGAGGGGGAAAGCGACACCTGGACGAGCGGCTGTCCGGGCGTGCAGGACGTGGCCGCTTCGGTGGGTCCATCCGCGCGAGTGGATGCTGATGAAGGATGGCGACAGGTGGCGGCCCAACTGGAGGCACTGAAGACGGTGTTGGCGCAGTTGTGCGACCTCGTGACGCCGGCGACGACTTCGGGGAGGCCCGGCGGGGAACAGCGGGCCGGGCCCTTGCCGTCGCCATCAGCCCTCTCGACCACGCGGCACGAAGACGCCATCTTGGGCATGGCCGAGGAGCAACGGCGGGAAGCCGCCATCTTGCGCCCTCCGACGCGGGAAGCCGCCATCTTGCACACGTTGCGGAGTGACGCCATCTTGTCGCTGCCGCGTGAGTCACCATCGGCGGAGGACGGTGGAGCAAGGACCCGCAGCCGTCATTTAACAACGGTAAAAGAGTTCTCCATCGGCGGCGATTGGAGCGCATTCGCCTGCCGTTTTCAAGCGGCTGTACGATCCGCCAAATGGACGGACGCGGAGGCCCTGGAAGTCCTACCAACACTTCTCGACGATGAGTCCGTCAGGTTCTTCCGCTCCATCAAGGCCGACAAGAAGAGGACGCTGCAGGGTGTCTTCGAGGAAATGGCGGATGCGTACGAGCCTCCGGACGATGCCCATCGTAGATTCGTACAGCGGCAACGGGCGCCCGAAGAATCGCCGGTGGCTTTCAGAGGCGCCGTTCTGGAACTGGCGATGGCAGCATACCCTGAGACGGAGCCGGATTTGTTGGAACCCCTTGTGTTGGGCAAGATGCTGGAATTGTCTAGAGACTTGGGGATCCCCATGCCGGTGTGCAGCCATGATAAGTTGACGTCCCATGCTGCGGATAAGTGCTTGGATGCTCAATTTAATCTCCGACGCTGGAAACAGGTGTCAGCTTGAACGGGGGGCCCCATCGTCGAAGGCGGTGCTACGGGGTGGGATACTTAGAAGGCGGTCTACGTTCCTGACGACAAGGGTCCGCAGGAGTTGACGGCCGCCTCCGCCCCGTGGCCTGCTCGGGGGGGTACGGGGCCGAGGTCCGGGCCGCCAGCGCGAGAGCGTCGGGACAGAGGGGGTGCCGCGCGTCGAAACGACGTGGAGTGTTTCCGCTGCGGCCGTAAGGGCCACTTTGCCAAAAGTTGTTGGGCTCGCATCCCGGGGCCGCCCCAGCAGGAGGCCTCGACCATGGACGTCATGCGAAAGGACCATCCAGGACACGCAAGTCGGTGCGCATCAGACACCCGGCAAGGCCTGTCACCTCATGCATCACCATCGCCGTGCGATCCGTGTGTCATTAACAACGAGGGGCCACCGATTGACCCGTGTCGCTCGCTGACGCAATGGCGGCGATTGGCACGGAGGGTGGTTGCGGCCGCTACTGGGTCGTCCACTGTACCGGGTTCTATTCAGCGGGTCGAGGTGTGTATTTTGGTGGACTCCGGTGCGTCCGCGACCATTATTTCGGACGTCATTTTCCATCTCTAGGGCATTCCGCCGGGGAGAGTGCGACCAGTTTATGATTCGTGCATAGTGGCGAACGGGGGAAGTATGGGCATTGTGGGCCAGGTGAACGCCAACATATCGATTGGGGGGGTGTCGGCTTCAGGGACCGTTTTGATCTCTAGGTCCCTCGCGGTACCCTGTTTGTTGGGGACCGATTTCCTGGCAAAAATGCCCATTCAAATAACAGTTGATCAAAATTGCATTGAATTACCGGGGGGCGGAAATTTTCGTTCTTGCCGTCGCCATGGGGCCTGTCTGCCCCTGTATGCCAGGTACAGGCGATGTCCGAGGTATCTGTTGACATTCCACCTGGTTCACAGATGCTTATCCCGTTGAGATATCGGAAGCCAGTACCTGGCGTTGAGGGAGCGGCGGGGGTTTTGTTATCGCCGTCCACGGCTATAACGGGCGGCTCGGCGCTGGTTGGGGCACAAACGATTGTCCGGCCGGGCCAGCCCCCGTTTTTACAAGTGCTGAATGGGAGTGCGGAGAATGTTAGCGTCCCGGCCAGAACGGTTTTGGCTCACGCCACGACCGCGTTCACGGCCCATGACGACCGGGGCCGCCGGGACATGGTAGGGGGGGTTGAGGGGCCTACGGGGCAGGATGATCGTTGGGTTGCCGAGTTGTGTGGGGAGAATTCATCCCTGACCGGAGAACGGTCCGCGCTTCGCGCGCTGTTGCTAAGCTATTCCGACGTGTTTAGCTCGGATGATTTTGACTTGGGACGCACCTCCTTGCTTTCCCACATTGATACGGGGGACGCCGCTCCGATTCGGTTGAACTCGCATCGGTTGAGCCCGACGGAGCGGGATCAGGTTCGCGGTGCAGTGGAGGACATGCTGGCCGCTGACATAATATCCCCGTCTTACAGTCCATTGGGCGCGCCGGTAGTCCTTGTGAAGAAGGATGGGAAACTGCGATTTTGCGTCGATTTTCGAAAATTAAACAAGGTGTCCGTCGCAGACGCGTACCCCCTGCCGCGTATGGATGATTCCCTTGATGCCTTGTCCGGGGCGAAGTTTTTTTCAACGCTGGATCTCTCCTCGGGATTCTGGCAGCTTCCCCTCGATGAGTGCTCGAGGGAAAAGACGGCTTTCCGTACGCCGCAGGGATTGTTTCAGTTTAATTGCCTTCCGATGGGCTTGAATGCGGCCCCCGCCACTTTTCAGCAGTTGATGGAGCTGGTGTTAACGGGTCTGCAGTGGGAGACATGTTTGATTTATTTAGACGATGTCATCATCTTTAGCCGCACATTTACGAACATTTACAGAGATTGGAGATGGTTTTTGCTAGGATGCGCTCCGCCAATCTAAAATTCAAACCAAAGAAGTGTCACCTACTGCAACGCTCCGTGCGTTATTTGGGACACATAGTCAGTGCGGACGGGGTGGCCATGGACCCAGAGAAGACGGTGTGCGTCCGCAACTGGCCAACCCCGGCCTCAGTTGGAGACGTACGTCGCTTCCTTGGGTTCGCCTCATATTATCGCAGGTTCGTTCCGAACTTTGCTATGATCGCTAGGCTCTTGCACCTCCTTATGGGCAAAGGTCGGAGGTTCAGTTGGGGACCGCCGGAGGAAGCGGCGTTTGAGGGCCTACGCGATCGGTTGGCGACGGCGCCGACATTGGACTATCCGGATTTTGATCGACCTTTTATTCTGGATACGGACGCTAGTGACACCGGGATCGGGGCTGTTCTGTCACAGTCCAAGGGCGGCGTGGAACGCGTGGTAGCCTACGGTAGCCATGTGCTGTCCCTGGCAGAAACCCGCTACTGCGTTACTCGCCGCGAACTATTGGCTATTGTCTATTTTCTCCGCCAATATCGGCCGTATCTATACGGCCGTTCGTTTATTGTGCGCACGGACCATGCGGCTCTGCAATATGCCCTGAGAGTTGACCAACCATCTGGCCAACTTGCACGATGGTTGGAGACCCTGCAGGAATTTTCCTTCGACATTCAATATCGTAAAGGGTCGCGTCACGCGAACGCGCTCTCCAGATTACCACAGGGGTCCCCGTGCGCTTGCGCGTCGGGTACGAATAGGTGTACGCCGGTTCAGCTACCCCCTCGGTCTGTCGTGTCAGCTGTCGAGGTGCCTGGGGCTCCGGTGTGCCCAGGACCGGCCGATGGGGTTCTGAACCTGCCGCGCTCGGTATGGATTCGTGAACAATTGCTTGACGACACGTTGGGGGCTTTACGGAGTCGGGCTGCGAAGGGAGCGGGGGGACTGCTGTCCAGTGGGACGCCGGGGGCCGCTCTCCGGGATGGTTTGCTCATGTGGAGGGAGGGGTTGCATGACCGCTGGCGTCTGGTGGTACCGTCGTCGTTACCGTACAAATTGATTCGGACTCTGCACTGCGACACTTTGTTACATCTCGAGGTGCAGAAAACTTTGCTAACATTGCAGCGAGACTACTTCTGGCACGGCATGACAACGGATGTCGTCGGACACATTCGGGCATGTCCCGAGTGTGCACGGCGGAAGCCGCCTAAAAACCCATATGTGCCGCCGGTGCAGTCTATACAGGTGTCTCGAATCAACGAGTTGGTGGCGCTGGATATTTTGGGACCTTTCCCGCCATCCGCTATGGGTAATAAATTTGTGCTGGTCGGGGTAGAATAATTCTCGTTGGCCGATGGCTTGGCTTGGCCCTTACCCGACCAGTCGGCGGCGTCTATCACGGACGCCTTCCTGTTTGGATATGTACTGGACAAAGGGGCGCCGGAAAGGCTACTCACGGATCAGGGGCGAAATTTTTCTTGTAAATTGTTGGCGAAGTGTGCGCTGCTCTGGGAACCAAGAAGGTTCGTACGTCTCCCTACCACCCGCAGACGGATGGCATGGTGGAACTGCTTAATCGGACGCTGTCGGCCATGTTATGTCACGGTTGACGAGAAACAAGCTGATTGGGACTTGCATATACCTGGGGTACTCTCCGCGTATCGGATGACGCCTCATGCGTCCACAGGGTATTCTCCATTTTTTCTAATGTACGGCCGCGAGAATGTGCCGCCGGTGGAAGTACAGCTGGGTACGGGGGCGAAGGGTCCTGTTAAGCCTCTCCCCGAGTACATTCAGGACACTGTTCGACGCGTCGCCGAGGCACGGGAGGGGGCCCGATTGGCTACTGCCAAGACTCAGGCGCGGAACGAGCATTGCGCCCGGCGCTCGACCGGTAAATGCCCCTGGCGAGTGGGGGACATGGCATGGCTGCACTGCCCGCAGGTGCGGCCGGGGACCTCCCCTAAGCTTCACAAACCATGGCAAGGGCCGGTTAAGCTTATTGAAGTTCCTAACCCGCAGTCCGCGCGGGTTCGATTCGGATCGCGGCGCTGGTACGTCCATACGGCTAGGTTGAAGCTCTACGTGGCCCCGCGGACGGATGCGTCATCTCCTGATGTTGCCTTGCCGGTGTCTGTTGCACCCGACGCACCTCTGCCCTTGTCTGTTGACCCTGTAAGCGCGCCTGTCGTGCCTTCTACAGACGAACCAGCCGTGACGCAGGCGGATGCGGCGAATCCTGCTCTGGGTGGGCCTACCACGGCGACGGGGCCACTTGACCCCGCTGCCCCTCCAACCCCACCACAGACACGGTTGCGGGAGACCCTGGACTTGGGTCTCTCTGGGGAACGGGACCTTGGCGTTGACGGGCCTCCTACAGCGGCCGGCAGTTCTACTCCCGTCGCTCTTAAAACCCCGTCGCAATCTCGGTCTGTGGGGGGGCCGTTCGGGACGGGCCGGCGACACGCACGCGTTCCAAATCCCTTTCCTTTCGTTTTCTTGTTCTTATCGTTGTTATATTCTCCGTTGTCCGGTGATGCCAGATGGTTAAAATGTTGCTCGCATTATTTTATTATATTTATTGCAGCCGAGGACGGCTGGGTTTTCATCAGGGGGGGAGGGATCATGTAATGCGAGCAAGGATTGAGGGGGGGCGGAGTCTGGGTCACGTGAGGAGAGGGAGGAGTTAGGGTCACGTGGGGGAGAAGATTTAGGGAGAGAACCGGAACGGGAACGGGGAGTTGAGACGGAGTGAAACGGGAGGAGGCCACGCTGGGCAGTACGGCGAGAGTGGCGCGGTCGCCACGCGGTGGGAGACGTCGGCACCGTCAGCCATCGGTGTCAGGACGCAGAGGGCTAGCGAGTGGTGGAAGGCTAGCTGCAGAGCGGAGCAGCAGACGGAGCAGCGGTGTGGCTGCAGGGCGGAGCAGCAGTGAGGCTGCAGAACGAGCAGCAGAGTGGCTGTGGAGTGATCGTCGGGAGAGACGCGGGCCTGAGCGAGGACGCCGTGTGAACGAGATTCTACGAACCCAAATAAAGGACAACGGAGATCGACATTGAGAAAGAGTCCTTTATTACACTTGGAATTGTCAACACAGTACTCCTGGAGATGTGCTCCTCATTGATCCGTACATTTAACCCTCAATGATTACGTTGTTAAACTGGGTAACAGAGGAATCGGTTCATTTCTCAGAGTAACACGAGCATATACGGCGATAGGAAACAGTCCTTAAAATAAATGTGACGATATTCATACGAACGGCAATAAAGAAACATGTCCCGATTGCAAAAGTAGACCTCAATGAATTCATTGGTAAATTATACAATTAACTAAATGTCTCGGAACAAGGGTGTGCGGCAGTGTGCCTGCTTCAGCAAATGCTTATCAACTGGCTAAGGCGTCAATAAATTCGCAGGCAAGATTCTGTGATGAAAAGAAAGATTTCAACGCAAGTCTCCCTGCGAGTGTGTGGATTCGTAACATAGGTTTCTAAACGTTAAGTTTCGTCAATGAATTAATCGGTACAGTTAAAATGAACAAAAAGAACGACTAAAATACCTCTCAACGACCGTATCCATGTGACTCAATGGGCAGCAATGTTCTTCATTATAAGCTAATAGTTGACGCACTCTTATCATTCTTCTTCTTATTATTAGTCCCGGTATGTGCGGTATGTGTGTGTTTGGTGGTTTTGTCTCCTTGATCAATTCTTTGCGTCAAGCAGACGCTGGGTGATACGTGGTATGTGAGTGTGGGGGAGGGTCATATACACAGCTTCCTTGCTCTCTCTCTCTCGCTTGGCGGCAGCTGGAGCTGCTGCCCACTGCTGGATGAAGAGTCGGCACGACGCTCACCGTCGACGGTGCGCGATGATTCCGTCGTCAGATAGCGCCCGCAGCTCGTCTGCTAGTCGCCGTTCCTCACTCTTGTCTTGGTTCACAGCTGGTGCTGGTCGGTGTGTGTAGGTCGAACCCACACGGCGCTCTCCTCTTCCTCACGGGCGGCTGGTCAGGCTCTTTCCCCTGCTGGATGAGCTGAGTCGGCACGATGCCTGTCTTTGAAGGTGCTCGACAGCGCTCGCCGCTCGTCCGCTGGCAGCTGACACCCTTGCTCGGTGGCGCTGCTGCGCTCTCTCTCCGGCTCCGTGCTCTCTGGCGATGCCTGGTTGCGTGTGCAGCTGGTTCTCTATGATGCCGGCTTGGTCGATAATTGGACTTTCACCCTTTCTCCCGGTTGATTGCTCGTCGTTGCTCGACACTATCTCTCGGGCTGCAGCTGCTCGTGGGAGCTGGCACTCAGTGTAGAATAACTTTGAGCGATACTTCTTCTGTCATGATGAATGTAGAATAAAACTCTCAACGATACTATGTCGGTCCATGCCGAACTCAGCACCGAGCATCACCTCGCTCCTCTTCTCTGCGAGACACAACACCCATTGTTGATCTCGAGGCCATGCCCCGGAGTCTGCCCTTCACAGTACTCTCTGTCGTTTGTAGTCTTCTGTAGCTTGCAGTAGTCTCGATGTATGGGTCGTGTCTCTGTCTTTACGTAAATCTCTCCCCTCGGATCACCGTGTGGTTAGTCATAGGAAACAACATATACATTGTCTTTGAAACTGATTGGTCCACACCAGAGACAGCTTTCTTTCGAGCCTAGTATCAAACGGTGTTAACCTAGAGGACTCCAAAAGGCGTGCTCTTCGAGTGTTTGTGATGAGATACGATACAAAACTCCGAGTTGCTGAGGCGATTAAGCAAGCACCATATAAATGCTAATATTAGTATAACAGTGAATGCTTGGGGGCTTATTGGCTCTCGCTCCTAGTTAGAGATCTACCCCACTCACATGTCCGCAAATACTGACCGCTCTTACTCTGCAGGTTGAACCTAGGAATGGAGTGTTCAACTTCACGTTCTTTTCAATAAAGGTCTGTGACAAATGTGAATCTATTGGAGCTGCATTGTCTCAAGCTTATACATCTACAGGACAGGTTCTCCATTTGACTTTGTATTGTCTAAGAAGTCCACCCACACCTCCACTTCCACAAACTGCTGGGAGTTGCCTCGCTCTGCCTCACAGTCAGAATTCTCCTCCTGCTTCACGTTGCCTCCATAGATGTGAAGGTCCGATTTTGGAGTTGAATGTTCATCTTCACATTTGACCTTCACTTCTTCGCTCTTCACCGTCACTTCTTCGCTCTTCACCGTCGCCTCTTCAAATTTCACCTTGATACATTTCATAGTGTCCAAGCTGGAATTTACTTCTGGTTCTTTTTTCAGGAGGGATGGGCTCATTGCAGCACTTTGACTTTCACAAGTCGATTTCAGACTACACTCCTTGGGGGTCTTCTGATGCCTGTGTGTTCTCTGGTGTGTATTAAGCTGTGTTGACTGTTCAAACGCCTTCCCGCACAGGGTGCACTTGAAGGGTTTCTCTCCTGTGTGTGTTCTCTGGTGCTTTTTAAGATTTGATGACTGTGAAAATGCCATCTCACAAACACTGCACTTGAAGGGGTTCTCTCCTGTGTGTGTTTTCTGGTGCGTTTTAAGATAAGATGAACTTGAAAATGCCATCTCACACACACTGCACTTGAAGGGTTTCTCTCCTGTGTGCGTTCTCTGGTGGATTTTAAGATTAGATGACTGTGAAAATGCCATCTCACACACACTGCACTTGAAGGGTTTATATCCTGTATGTATTCTCTGGTGTATTTTGAGATAAGACGAACTTGAAAATGCCTTCCCACACACACTACACCTGAAGGCTTTCTCTCCTGTGTGTGTTCTCTGGTGGATCTGTAAACCTGATGTCCATGCAAATGCCTTCTCACACACAGTGCACTTGAAGGGTTTCTCTCCTGTGTGTGTTCTCTGGTGTATTTTAAGATAAGATGAACTTGAAAGTGCCTTCCCACACACAGTGCACTTGAAGGGTTTCTCTCCTGTGTGTGTTCTCTGGTGGCTATGAAGCTGTGGTGACTGTGCAAATGCCTTCCCACACACAGTGCACTTGAAGGCTTTCTCTCCTGTGTGTGTTCTCTGGTGTTTTTTAAGATAAAATGAACTTGACAATGCCTTCCCACACACAGTGCACTTGAAGGGTTTCTCTACGGTGTGTGTTCTCTGGTGTATTTTAAGAGCAGATGAAAATAAAAATGCCTTCCCACATATACTACACCTGAAGGGTTTCTCTCCTGTGTGTGTTCTCTGGTGTTTTTTAAGAGCAGATGAAAATGAAAATGCCTTCCCACACACACTACACCTGAAGGGTTTCTCTCCTGTGTGTGTTCTCTGGTGTTTTTTAAAAGCAGATGAATCTGAAAATGCCTTCCCACACACACTACACCTAAAGGGTTTCTCTCCTGTGTGTGTTCTCTGGTGTATTTTAAGATAAAATGAACTTGAAAATGCCTTCCCACACACAGTGCACTTGAAGGGTTTCTCTACGGTGTGTGTTCTCTGGTGTATTTTAAGAGCAGATGAAAATGAAAATGCCTTCCCACATATACTACACCTGAAGGGTTTCTCTCCTGTGTGTGTTCTCTGGTGTTTTTTAAGAGCAGATGAAAATGAAAATGCCTTCCCACAAACACTACACCTGAAGGGTTTCTCTCCTGTGTGTGTTCTCTGGTGTTTTTTAAAAGCAGATGAATCTGAAAATGCCTTCCCACACACACTACACCTAAAGGGTTTCTCTCCTGTGTGTGTTCTCTGGTGTATTTTAAGATAAAATGAACTTGAAAATGCCTTCCCACACACACTGCACTTGAAGGGTTTCTCTCCTGTGTGTATTATCAGGTGTATTTTAAGATAAAATGAACTTGAACATGCCTTTCCACACACACTACACCTGAAGGGGTTCTCTCCGTTGTGCGTTCTCTGGTGGATTGTAAGATTAGATGACTGTGAAAATGCCATCTCACACACAGTGCACTTGAAGGGTTTCTCTCCTGTGTGTGTTCTCTGGTGGATCTGTAAACCTGATGCCCATGCAAATGCCTTCCCACACACAGTGCACTTGAAGGGTTTCTCTCCTGTGTGTGTTCTCTGGTGTTTTTTAAGATTAAATGAACTTGAAAATGCCTTCACACACACAGTGCACTTGAAGAGTTTCTCTCCTGTGTGTGTTCTCTGGTGTTTTTTAAGAGCAGATGAATCTGAAAATGCCTTCCCACACAGAGTGCACTTGAAGGGTTTCTCTCCCATTGGAGATCTCTGGTCCTGTGTAAAATTTCCAGTACAATCCATGCTGTTTGCATACTGGTCCCATTGTTGTCTTTGTCTACCGAGCCACGCTGAGTGCCTTTGCTCCATCAGACCAATTCTGCAGAGAAAGCATCAGAAGAAGCATCAGCTGCAGAAAGAAAAAAATGTCCACACCATCTTCATCAGTATCGAGGCACAGAGGAGTGAATATATACACAGTCACACATGACTTACACGTCTATATTTATTCATATATTCAGGATTCTCCCCAATTCGTCACACCGACTGTTAAGGCACACAATGAGAGGGCAAAATGTTATAAATATGCCTGGAAGCACTAGTATCTTCAAAATAAATGTTAACCCAAAACACCAAGCACACAATTTCGGCAGCCTGGCTGCAAAAGAAGAAAATTTATACAAGCAAAATTCATTCATAATCAACGTTTTTGGGTTTAGATCGCGTTATTTATAAATGTGTCGTAACCCTCCACCACCCGACACGGCCAATCAGTAAAAAAGTGTCACGTTGACAAAAGACAAATTAGTTCACTGCTTTAGCCCACCGGTGTGTTGAAGCGCGAAACCACAACATTTACAATTTGTGGTTTCGCGCTTCAACACGCAGGATGAAGGGTGAGAGGCGGGTGCGATTCCAGCATGGCAGGGAGAAGGATGGTCTCGGGTGTCAGTTTTGTTGGCAGATAAAAGGGTAAAAAAACACAACTATCATATTTTGCTACTGGCAAAGGAGGTTCCAATGGTGTAAATGCTTTACCCCGAGCTCTCATACTCTGATGGTGCATTGTCTTTGAGTTGTGCGCCTTTTGGCGTCATCTGGTCCAACACCATGTGAGACTAGGCTCTAAGAAAAGCTGTCTCGGGTGTGGACCAATCAATATCAAGGACAGTGCATACATTATCAGAGTTGTGTTTTTGTTTGCATTCTGACCGAAGGTATTGTGGTCAATGCAAACATGACTCCTTGTAAAAAGAAATGTCAGTTTTGTTGCCAGATAAAAGGGTACAAAAGACAATTATCATATTTTGCTACTAGCAAAGGAGGTTCCAATGGTGCATTGGGAGCTTCTCAAACTACGTAGTTATTTCCATCTTAATTTTGGAGCTTTCGTGACTGCAGGAATGATTCTTTGGTTCTTTCGGTAAAGTCACGTATAAAGATAAAATAATAAATTAAATAATAGCATACGACATTTCGATTGCAACACAAGCAATCATCATCAGGTATAATGAAATAGCAACAAAATCTAACCAGAAAACTATAGACAGACATATAAGCAGACAGATATCACCAAGATACATAGAGAGAGCAACACAGGTACAGAGAGGGGGGGATCGTCTCTGTGGGGTGGCCTTAAATAGACAGAGGGGGGCGGAGGCAGAGAGAGGGAGGGGTTAGAGAAAAAAATTACATGTCAATGAGTACGAAGAAACGCGTAGTAAAGTACGCAGGCTTGAACATTAGGAGAGAGGGAGAAAGAACACACCAAATTAAATAACCTAGCAAAATATCGAAATGTAATACGACACGGAGAGTCGGTCAACACACAATTAACGCATAGCCTGGTCGATTACGTATTTCAAAGATTATTAAGTTAGAATTTAAGTGTGAAAATTCCAAAGGCAAAACATAAAACAAAAGGAACGGAGACACACAGACAGAACAGAACATAAGAACGACAAAAAACGAGCGTAGACAGAAAAAAGTACACTAAATATACAGGCAGAGAAAGAGAACAAAAAACCCAAAATTAAGATTGAACCACTTCTACGGGGAAGTTCTAAGTTTACCTTTTTCTCTCTCTCTGGGTTTTTTGTTCTCTCTCTCTGCCTGTATATTTAGTGTACTTTTTTCTGTCTACACTCGTTTTTTGTCGTTCTTATGTTCTGCTCTGTGTCTCCGTTCCTCTTGTTTTTTATGTTTTGTCTTTCTTTGGAATTTTCACACTTAAATTCTAACTTAGCAATCTTTGAAATACGTAATCGACCAGGCTATGTGTTGTGTGTTGACCGACTCTCTGTGTCGTATTACTTAACATTTCGATATTTTGCTAGGTTATTTAATTTAGAGTGTTCTTTCTCCCTCTCTCCAAATGTTCAAGCCTGCGTACTTTACTACGCGTTTCTTCGTACTCATTGACATGTAATTTTTTTCTCTAACCCCTCCCTCTCTCTGCCTCCGCCCCCCTCTGTCTATTTAAGGCCACCCCACAGAGACGATCCCCCCTCTCTGTACCTGTGTTGCTCTATGTATCTTGGTGATATCTGTCTGCTTATATGTCTGTCTATAGTTTTCTGGTTAAATTTTGTTGCTATTTCATTATACCTGATGATGATTGCTTGTGTTGCAATCGAAATGTCGTATGCTATTATTTAATTTATTATTTTATCTTTATACGTGACTTTACCGAAAGAACCAAAGAATACGTAGTTATTTATTGATTTAAAGCTTTCGTGACTGCAGGAATTAATACTCTTTGGGTCTTTCGGTCAAGTCGCGTACATAGAAAATAATAGATCACGATGTTTCGATCGCAATACAAACAATCGTCGTCAGGTGAGAAAGAAAGCTGCTGAGACAATGTCTTATATAGGCCTGAGATGGGTGCATCAAGGTAGGTGGGTGGAGCTAGAGATGGTCCAACCAATTGAAATAAACACGGAGAAACCGTATACAAAAAATATCCCAAGACAAAAAATAGTACAAATCTGTAAATAATAAAAGGGGTAAAACCTCTTCTTATATTTTGCTACTGGCAAAGGAGGTCCCATGATGTAGCTCAGGGGTCCTCAAACTACGGCCCGCGGGCCACATGCGGCCCGCCGAGGACATTTATCCGGCCCGCCGGGTGTTTTTGCCGCCGCTGCCTGTCACTTTTTTTCTGCATGAGAAGGACGGTCATTGGTGGAAGAGGGAGAGGGGGCGGAGTTTCCCCCAATCAGACTGCATTGATGGGCAGTGCAGTCTGTATGTCTCTGTGTGGGCAAAGTTATTACTGGTATATTGTTTTTGTAGCGCTGTATATATATTGGTATTTTACTAATATCAATTTTGACTCCCTAGGAAACAATGATGTCAAGAAAGAGAAAAATTGACTCGGAGTGTAGGATATTCAAAGAACAGTGGACTTATGATTACTTTTTCATGCAGTACAAGGAAAGAGCTGTGTGTCTGATATGCCAGAATATAGTGTCTGTGTTCAAAGAATACAATTTACGTCAACACTATAAAACTCAACATAAAGATAAATATGCTTGTTTGGTCGGAGAAGTGAGAAAAGATAAAATATTAAAACTGAAAAATACATTAACAACTCAGCGAAATAGTTTTGTGAAGCAGAAGCAGCTAAATATTTCATCACTGCGAACAAGTTTTCAAGTTTCCAAGCTAATAGCATGCACTGGCAGACCATTCGTGGAGGGAGAATTTGTTAAAGAATGCCTTCTTTCTGTTGCCAAAGAGATGTGTCCAGAGAAGGCCGATTTATTTAGTACAGTGAGTTTTTTAGGACCTACAATTACACGGAGGATTGAAGAAATGGGAGACAATTTGCATCAGCATTTGCAAAACTCCACAAAAAAACTTTCCTATTTTTCCTTGGCACTCGACGAAAGCAATGATGTTCGTGATTCTGCACAACTTCAAATTTTTATTCGTGCGACGAATGACTATTTCGAAGTCACAGAAGAGCTTGCTGCACTGCAAAGCATCAAAGGAACAACTACAGGAGAGGATATCTTTCGATTTAAAGCTTTCGTGACTGCAGGGATTCATCTTCTTGGTTCTTTCGGTAAAGTCACATAGAAGGGAAGTAATAAAATAATTCTCACGACGTTTCGGCCACAACGCAAGCAGCCGTCCTCAGGTGAAAACCAGGTCTGTTGGGGAGACAGCGTCTGAATGAAATAGCACACGAGCTTGGAGCATATATAAGCTGGGTTGGAAGCGGGGGAAAGAGCGCCTTGACAACATAATTTCAATATCAAGAGGAATTTAGCATATTTATGGGAAATGCAGGAATGTGATTAGTACTACATATGCCCGTGCTGCATATGTAGTACTAATAACATTCCTGCATGTCCCATAAATATGCTAAATTCCTCTTGATATGCAAATTATTTGTCAAGGCGCTCTTTCCCCCGTTTCCAACCCAGCTTATATATGCTCCAAGCTCGTGTGCTGTTTCATTCAGACGCTGTCTCCCCGACAGACCTGGCTTTCACCTGAGGACGGCTGCTTGCGTTGTGGCCGAAACGTCGTGAGAATTATTTTATTATGTTTTATTTTTATTATTTTATTACTTCCCTTCTACGTGACTTTACCGAAAGAACCAAGAAGAGAGGATATCTATGAAAAGGTTTGCCAAACTGTGAATGGTTTGGAGCTGAACTGGGCTAAACTAGCCAGTGTGGCAACTGATGGTGCTCCTAGCATGGTGGGGTCTAAGAAAGGAGTAATTGCTCGCATTAACCAAGAGATGGACAAACATAACCATTCTCATCCAATAGCCATACACTGCCTCATCCACCAACAAGCGCTGTGTAGTAAATCACTGAAGTGGGACTCGGTTATGAAATTTGTGGTATCTTGTGTTAACTTCATTAGAGCTCATGCACTAAACCACAGACAATTTCAAGCATTTCTGTCTGAGCTAAATGTTGACTATGAAGATGTTCTGTATCACACAGAAGTCCGTTGGCTGAGTCGAGGGAGAGTTTTGAAACGTTTCTATGACTTACTTCCACAGATTACAGCTTTTCTGCTTTAAAAAAACAAAGAAGTACCAGAGCTCAATGATGCAGAATGGAAATGGCACCTTGCCTTTCTGACAGATGTAACAGAGCTACTCAACAGTTTCAATGTGCAACTTCAAGGAAAGGGGAAGCTCATCTGTGATATGCAATCACATGTCAAAGCATTTGAAGTAATATTAGGCCTCC